CTATGTCCCAGGGCATTGGTGAATATGGCACAATTAAAGATATCACCTGTCCTAGGTGCCCAGCGTAGCCCAGAAGAACCAACCCCAGGGTAGGCCTCTTGTGACCCACACTTGGTGCCCAAAGAGGAAGGGAACATGAAGGAAGGATCACTCACCTCCCTTTAATACAAGTGTTACAACTCCTACAGAGGATTGGTAAGTTGAGCACAAAGGCATAGGGTTTACAGTTTGAGGAAGGACTCTAGGGACTGTGCTATGGAGATAATCTACATTTATATAATATGCCATATATGTTATACTCCTTTAGCATCCTGCTCTGGATATCCTGTGCCAGAAACCTAGTTACCAATGATGCTTCCACCATTCTGGTCCCCAACCATGGTTTGCATCCCAGAGTTCAGTCCAATGTGTCATAAGGTGTCTTTCTAAAATCTTGTATAACTGGAGTTTGAATTTGGTGTTTTTCTGGAAAAAAAACCTTACCAATCTGTAAATCTGGTGGCTGTATTTTTCCGAGGCTTTTTTCCTTTATTTTCACCTGATAATCCGGCCAGCAATACATTCCCTGTTTTACGGTGTATCTACTCTGAATAGAAGAGCAACAGAGACATCTTTGGACAGTAGCAATCTGTGGAGAGGGTAGTGTTAGAAGCACTGGCAGATTTAGATGGACGTGACTAAAGCTGGCCATACACTAGTAGACAAAAATATGTAACAAAAATTCTCATTCTACTTTTGATGAGTTGGCAAATGTTGTTTGAAAGTACTTTAAAACATTGTTTGCTTTTCATGTTCAATTTTGGAATGTGTGAAATTTCCCGAACGAAAACCACACTGTTAGGGCTAGGGTTTTACACAGCCATGGGTGGCAAGGGAGTGGTAAAAACAGACAGCCGAGCTGAACTGTCACAATACAGGATTCATTTGCTGAAGAAAAATTTTTCATTCTATTCCTTAGAATTTGCTTGTCGCACAAACAAAAACAAACGCTAATTTGACCCCACTAATGATTAAAACATGTAACAAATATTCTAAAAACAAAACATTTTGAACAAGTGTATGGCCAGCTTAACAAATTAAAGCCAAACCCCAGTTTATTGCAGTTACAACAACAGTTATTGTTTTCATTTGGGGTGAAAGGTTTTACAGATATGAATAAAAGCTGGTCATTGAAGCAGCCCTGTAAGTGGTAAATGGCTTGCCTTAGCCCTGTAACTTTTTCTGGACAGCTTGGTCGTTAAAAGACTAATAAGGGGGCTGGAGGTCCTCAGTTATGAAGAAAGACTACACAGATTAAGCTGATTTTCCCTGGAAAAGAGATGCTTAAGAGGAGAGATAATCGCAATATATAAATATGGTGATCCTAGCATATGGAGAAACTGTTCAGTCTCAGGTTGCTGAAGAGGACATGGTCACTCAATGAAGTTGGACGAGAAGAGGTTTAACCTTACACTGCCTAATGGGTTCTTTACTGTTAGAATAGTAAACATGTAGAACTTTCTTCCACAATCGGTGATGTCAGCAGGAAAGTGTCATCTATTTCAAAAAACTTTTAGATGGACATCTTAGTGAACACAACATACAGAGATGTAGGAACTGGTAGACATAAATCATACCTCTCAACGTTCTGAAACACCTAATAACCACTTGCCTACCAGGCACTTATACCCCCTTATTTACCAAGCCAATTTTCAGCTTTCAGCGCTGCCGCACTTTGATTGACAATTGCGCGGTCATGCAACATTGTACCCATATGGCTACCCTTCTTCCTCTCCTCTGAGCTACCCACTATCATCCTTGGGGATTTCAACATCCCTGTCAACCTCGACAACCCGGACACAGCCCGTCTCCTCCACTTAACCTCCTCCTTTGCACTTGCACAGTGCATACAATCCACACCCACTCCGACGGTAATATCCTTGATCTTGTCTTCTCCAACCGCTGCGCTCCCCACAACCTCACTAACACCCCCTTCCCTCTCTCTGACCACAACCTGATTACCTTCTCTCTATCTCCTCATCCTCCAATGCCTACCCCTCCAAATGTCACACTACTACCAGCCGTAACCTCCGCAACCTTAACCCTGCCTCCCTCCACTCCGCAGTTGATCAACTCCATGACCGCATCCTCCCTCTGTCCTGCCCCGACTTGGCTATGACCGCCTACAACAATGCGCTGTCAACAGCCCTTGACTCACTAGCGCCTTTAACCACACGCAACATCAGACCCCGACCGCTCCAGCCCTGGCAGACTGATCACACCAAAACCCTCAAACGACACAGTCGTGCCCTGGAGCGACTATGGCGCAAAACCAAATCCCAACAAGCCTTCACCCGATACAAATCTGCCTTCCACACCTACACCTCCTCCCTCCATACTGCCAAACAAGCCTACTTCCTGACCCTCATCAAGGCCCTCTCCTCCAATCCTCGCCGACTCTTCTCCGCCTTCAACTCTCTACTCTCGCCACCCCCACCTCCACCCAGCACCTCACTCACTGCCCTTGAGATTGCCAATCACTTCAAAAACAAGATTGACACAATTCGCAAGGACATTGCCGCAACTCACACGCCTTCTCAACCCGTCCCCTCTCACACAGCTACCCCCTCATCCCCCCTCCCCCTCGAAATAACCCACAGGGACTTCGTCGCTGCTCAAACTCCCTCCAACCCCCTTCCCCCTCACTCAGCTACCCCCTCTACACCCCTCTCCCACGGCCCCACCACTGCTCTTACCTCCTCTCCCACCCCACCCTACATTCCTCATACTGAAGCTCCCCCAACACTCCGCACCTTTGACCTTACTACCATCGAAGAAGTCTCCAAGATCCTCTCTGATGCCCGCCTCACCACCTGCCCCCTTGACCCTATCCCCTCACAACTCCTACAACCTCCCTCCCCCTCCATCCTACGCTCCCTCACCCACATCTTCAATCTCTCCCTCTCCTCCGGCACTTTCCCTTCCCCTCTGAAACATGCACACATCACCCCCATACTTAAAAAGCCCTCCCTGGACCCCAATGACCCGAACAACCTCAGACCCATCTCCCTGCTCCCATTTACATCTAAACTCCTCGAGCGCCTAGTCTACACCCGCCTATGCTCTCACCTCAACGACAACAACCTCCTCGATCCCCTACAGTCCGGCTTCCGTCCCCTACACTCCACCGAAACTGCCTTACTCAAACTCTCCAACGACCTGCTAACCGCCAAAGCTAATGGCCACTATTCAGTGCTCCTACTCCTTGACCTCTCTGCGGCCTTCGACACAGTCGACCACCCCCTCCTCCTCAAAAAAACTACACTCCCTCGGCCTCAGAGATTCTGCTCTCTCCTGGCTCTCATCCTACCTGTCACAACGCTCTTTCAGCGTTACCTATAATGCCACCACCTCCCTCTCACTCCCCCTCTCTGTTGGGGTCCCTCAAGGCTCTGTCCTCGGGCCCCTTCTCTTCTCCATCTACACCTCCTCCCTTGGCCAACTCATACACTCTCACGGCTTCAACTACCACCTCTATGCCGACGACACACAAATCTATCTCTCAACCCCCCACACCTCACCCCCTCGGTCTCCGCCCGAATCACACACCTGTTGAGCGACATATCAGACTGGATGTCGCTCCACTTCCTTAAACTGAACCTCTCCAAAACCGAGTTTCTTGTCTTCCCTCCAGCCCGGACACCACCCCCCATTGACTTCTCCATCATGTCCAACAACGCCACCATCAAACCCGCCCCGCAGGCCAGAGTACTTGGTGTCATTTTGGACTCCAACCTATCCTTCCAGCCCCAAGTCCACTCTTTAACAAACTCGTGCAGACTCCACCTCCGCAACATCGCCAATATCCGCACGTTCCTAACTCCAGAAACCACTAAACAGCTCATCCACTCCCTCATCATATCACGACTCGACTACTGCAACTCCCTCCTCACTGGCCTGCCTCGCCGCTGGCTATCCCCGCTTCAGTCCATCCTGAATACGGCTGCCAGACTCATTCACCTTTCCAACCGCTCCGTTTCCGCCACCCCCCTCTGCCAATCCCTCCACTGGCTTCCGACTGCGCAACGGATCAAATTCAAAATCCTAACGCTGCGTACAAAGCTGTCCACCATACTGCCCCGAACTACATCTCTGACCTAATATCCAAGTACCGCCCAACACGCACACTCCGCTCCTCACAAGACCTCCTTCTCTCTAGTTCCCTGGTCTCCTCCTCCCATGCCCGCCTCCAGGACTTCTCCAGGGTGTCACCCATCCTCTGGAACTCCCTGCCCCAACCCATCAGATTATCACCTACTCTCCTCTCCTTTAGGCGCACCCTGAAAACCCATCTCTTCAGGGAAGCCTACCCCGCCCCCTGCTAACTTGCCAACCTCCTCCACTCTTCCTACCACTCCATCCCCCACAGCTATCTCCTCCTGTGCCACCATCCCCTCCCTCCTAGATTGTAAGCTTGAAAGAGCAGGGCCCTCGATCCCCTCATGTTTTGCATTGTATTGGTATTGTTCTGTCACATGTTCTGTCCCCCTTTATAATGTACAGCGCTGAGCGAACTATTGGCGCTTTATAAATACTGTATAATAATAATAATAATAATATGAAATTTTGATAATTTTTTTTCTCACAAATAGAGCTTTCTTTTGGTGGTATTTAATCGCCACTGGGCGCTTTACTTTTTGCGCTATAAATAAAAAAATGCAAAAAATTTGAAAAAAAAAAAGTTTCTTTGTTTCTATTATAAAATTTTTCAAACAGGCATTTTTTCTCCTTCACTGATGTGCGTTGATGAGGCAGCACTGATGGGCACTGATAGGCGGCACTGATAGGCAGCACTAAAGGGCACTGATAGGCAGTACTAATGAGGTGGCACGGATAGGCGGCACTGATAGACAGCAATAATGAGGTGTCACGGATAGGCGGCACTAATATGCAGCACTGATAGGCGGCACTGATAGGTGACACTGATGATGGGTACTGATAGACGGCACTGACTGGCATCACTGCTGGGCACTGACTGGCGGCACTGACTGGCACAACCCCTGGGCACTGACTGGTGGCACTGACTGGCAGCACTGCTGGGCTGCACTGGTGGGTGGCACTGGTGGGCAGCACTGGTGGGTGGCACTGGTGGGCACAGGTGGGTGGGCACATGTGGGTGGCACTGCTGGGCACATGTAGGTGGCACTTCTGGGCACAGGTGTGTGACACTGCAGAGTGGCACAGGTGGGTGCACTGCTGGGCACAGGTGGGTGTACTGCTGGGCACAGGTGGGTGATCTGCTGGGCACAGGTGGGCGGAGCTAGTGGGCGCACTGCTGGGCACAGGTGGGCGGAACTTGCGGGCGGCACTGCTGGGCACCGATCATCAGGGCACTGATCATCAGTGCCCTGATGATCGGTGCCGATCCCCGCTCTGACAACTGCCGGTTCTCGGCAGTACTTTCCTCACGATCTGACAGCGTGAGGAAAGTGCAGCCGAGAACCGGCACTTGCATTTCCCTCTGATCAGCGTGTCATTGGACACCGCTGATCACGTGGTAAAAGGCCACTGTGATTGGCCTTTTACCACATCACGTGATCAGCTGTGTCCGTAGAACTGGCCGGCCGCAGTGAAGCCGTCATTCGGCTATCTGCGGTCGGCAGGTAGTTAACAAAGGTATGTAGGCATAGGACACACCCCCTGCATTGGACACACTTCCTTAAAGGAGAATTATACAAAAAAATGATTATTTAAACCCACAAGTATTTTTTTTTACCACTATTATTCCTTTAAGTTGGCTTTTAAAATTTACAAGTGCAACAATTTAGACATTGGATGAAAGGTTTAGCCTGGGAAACACTTTTTGAAAGATAAAAAGTGCATTTTCTATCCAACTCTATGGATAAGACCAAAATGAGTGACAAATAAGGAGGAAAGAGGGACAGAGGGACTTTGTTCCAAATCGGAGGCAGTCCTTCGAAATCAGGGACTGTTGGGACTGTTGAGAGCTATGATAGATGAATACACACACCCACACAGGTTGATCTGGATGGACTAATGTTTTTATTCAACCTTACTATGTACCTATCAAAGTTGAAAAACAACAGACTTTTGAGCTTGGATCACAGGTGAAAATAAAGGGAAAAAGCCTCTAAAAAGGAAACAAATGAGGCAACCACATCTAAGAATTAGTGAGCTGCAATATAATACAATTTTTTGGGATTACCACTTTAATACTTAAAGCAGAGTTCCAGCTGAAAAAAAAAATAAAAGTCAGCAGCTACAAAAAACATTTACCTGTCCCTTGGTCCAGCGGTGTCCTCAACACCGCTGGTTTCACTGGCCACCTTCTCTCCCCGGCGCTGGCATCTTCAGTGTGGGCACCCGGTTGTGGCAGCATGCGTGAGAAGCGCTGCGCTTTGCAAATGGCCCCGTAGTCTTCTGGGGCCTGTCACGTGTCCCAAAAGACTACAGGGAGGGAGGGGGAGAGGACAACTTCTGCTTCTGATCACATAGGCAATCTCAGCAGAATTGGGAGAGGGTACCTGTTAAATTTGGGTACCCGTTCCCCCCCCCCACTCCCCAAAGGTGCCAATCCTTAATGGGGAGCGGGGGACAAAGCATTAAAGCGGAACTTCCCCTTTTGCGTGGAGTATCAGTTAGGACTGTTCCTCTGAGGATACAATACATTAAAGTGGTTGTAAAGCTGATGGTTTTTTACCTCCATACATTATATGCATAAAGGTAAAAAAACCTTCAGTGTGCAGCTCCCCCCTCCCGAATACTGTACTTATCTGAGCCCGATCTTGATCTAGTGCTGTGCACAAGAGCAGCGACTCTCCTTCCTCATAGGCTGAGACACAGCAGCAGGAGCCAATGGCTGTCAATCACAGCCAGTGAGGAGGGAGCAGGGGCAGGGCCAAGCCACACTCTGTGTGTCTTATAGGCATGCATAAGTGTCTCCAGAGCAAGCAGCTTACCTTGGGCACATCCAGCAGGGGGGAAGGAGCAAGGAGCGCTAGCAGGGGACCTGAGAAGAGGAGGATCGGGGCTGCTCTGTGCAAAACCATTACACAGAGCAGGTAGGTATGACATGTTTGTTACTTTTAAAACAAAAAATCAGAACCTTTGCTATCACTTAGTGAGCAATGGACCCCAAGAACAGGAAATGTGGAACTAGCAGGATCACCAGGTGAAAGCTGAGGAAAAAGAAAACTAATGTTACCACTACGTCTAAGAACTAGTAAACTGCAGCAGATTCCATTTGGTGTTCTTGGGTTCAGATATGTTTTAACAAAGCAAACAAATGTTGACATTTCTCTGTTCCCACACCTGAGGATGTACAAGGCAAATGGAGTGGAAATCAATTCTTTTCCATTCTAGATGATAGTGATGTCTACTGGCAGGTCAGTCTAAATAAATCGTCATCACTACTTTGTAGTTTTAATACACCTTGGGGACAATAAAGATTCAATCAGCTATCATTTGGAATCACGTCTACTAGCGAAGTTTTTCAGAGAAGAATGCAGACGAATTTGGAAACTTTGAAGGTTTTCACATAATTGCAGAGACAATTTCAGATGACAGTTATAGTTGTCTCACAGAAACAGGAACATGATGATATTTATGGAAGCAGCTGAAAAACCCGACACTCATCACCAACTCCAGCCAAAGCATTCTTCTTTGAAGAGAATGGGGAAAGATTAGAACATCTGTCAGAATTTTTCTTGCTGATTGAGGCCCCAAGGATGAGTTTTTCCCTAACTTTCTGTCCCAGCAACCTAGTGGAGATTTAGATGACAATAAAAACTCTCTCCTTTAGCTTTATAGCTGTCTATATTCTTTTACGTTCTGTATGTTCCTAGTAAGGGCTCATTCACCCTATGTGTGCCCTTGGGAGACATTTGCCTCCACAAGAGCATACAGAAAACAATTATTTTCTATGTGCCCTGTTCACACTACAACAGAAAAGGGCACATAGCCCTCTCCTGAAGTTGCACATTAGAGTTCTCCTGAAGTCTTCGTCCGTCTGTCCATCCATCCGTGCATTTCTTTGCACTTCACCTGAGCTGCAATGAATAGAAATTAATGAAGTGTCACTTTGTGACATTTCAATAAAGTTAAAAAAAGAGGAAAAAAGTTAACAATGCATTGCATTGTAAAAATGCAAGACATTACCCCTCTACCCATACAGAATGGACATAGCCCACACAGCAAAACTATTTGTTTTTCTATGCACGATCCCTGGGCACACCATGGTTCCTTGGCATGGGCCTCACCAGAGTTCTCATGGTTACCAGATGGAAACCTCCAGACATCGTCCCACTGAAACAACCTATGAGCAACCCAGTCTTACCTGACCTGAAACCGAACCCTACCATCCAACCCCATCTCTCTTCTTGGCAACCTTGATCCCTCTCATTCTCCTGGCCACAAGCCCATGTCCAGGAGTAGTCTCTCATCGGGAGAAATTATAAAAAGACTACATCAGGCTCTTTGAAGAGGTACTTGTATTTACTGAAGAACATTAAATAAACAGTCAAACATGTAGGATAATGGAGCTACCATACTTAAACAGTTCACCTTTCCAAAAAAAATTAAAACTAACACCCTACACCCTCCCCACTCCCAAGTTGCTGCTGCACTTACCCCTGTGGGTGATGAATTGTCAGTGTCAAGGGTTTGAAATCTCCACTCTTCTCCCTCTTCTCTCCGCAGCTCTTCTAGGATAGATCAGAGCAATTCTCTGTGTCGACGCTAGCCATTCACCAGAAACCCTGCAAAAAAAAGGGGGGAAGAGTAGGGATTTCAGATCCCAATAGCGCTGCACTGGCTGTGTGGGCACTGCAGTCAGTCAGTTCAGCAGGGATGGGAATGGATGGGGGGAGTAGGGTGACGAGGCTGTAGGGTGTTAGAGCCTTTTTCAAAAGGTGAAGCTACATTTTAAACAGAATGCAACAGTCCTTGTAATAAGGAAAGGAAGAGAGAGAGAGAGAGACCTGTACCCTGGTAGAGGGTATCATCTAGTCCCAATCAGTCTTTCCCCACCAAGTTGAATAAGTCCTTGCACTTGAAGGGAAAATTCAAGCTGAAAGGCTTCCTGGCTACATGGTCTTTATGGCTTAGTCCTAGTTCAGAACTACAGTTTGCTTTTTCCCACAGACTACCTGCCTCCTTAGCAACCCGTCAAACCATTTATATATTGTGTAGCCTTCCAGGGACATGCCAAACTGGCAAGGCATTGTTGCCAAGCAACCCAAACCCCTTTGATTAACAGTTTCCCAAAATAATTACATCCAAGGCATGCTGTAAATGGTAACTGTCACAGTTGCTTGTGCTCTCAACAGAACTGTCAAGCCATACAATGACTGGTATCATAAGCGATCACATGTGCAGCAGCAGGGCAAGTGCAGAGGCTAAGGCGGCAGCTTCTGTGGCTGTAAATGATAGATTGGATTGGTCCTTTGTAACACCCTCCAGGTTAGATAGATAGCAGCCTGGGATAAGTCAGCCTATGAGTGAGGCAGGAGTGTACCTCAGGACAGGCTGCTAGGCTCTAACAGGTCAGGGCTTCTGGAGCCCTCCCACACAGATCTGCATGTTTGAGGGACTGTGGCCAATACCCTGACCAGAGGCTGGGCATGGTGTCCAGGACACCCTTCAAATGTGGCAGAACCTGGGGATAGGTGTGCAGAGTCGGGTGGAGGATGGACTGAGAGGAAAGCTGGTGTAAGGAGCCTGGGAGGGGGCCCCAGAGAAGGAATCCCATCTGCAAGCAGGATTCTGGAAGGGAGGATCTCCTCTGTCCCACCATTTCCTTGGGAAGATGGTCTATCAAGCAGGGAAGGAGCAAGCCAGCATAAGGCCTGAAGGCAACCACCAACTTACCAATCAAACAGTAAAAGACAGAGTGAGTACTCCTATACCCCCTGGGCCAGATAAGGGGAGAGGGCAGTCAAGTGCAAGTCTTCATCTGGGACTCTTCTAAAACTATAGCTTCTGGGCCCCCTTGCCCAGGGATACCCTCAAGGCAGCTGGGTGAAGAGGAAGAATCATGCAGGGTCTGAGGAGGTGAACCAAAGGGGCTTCAGCACCCCTTAAAGAGAGAATGTTGCTATCCACATTTGGCAGAAAAGCTGTCCCCAAATTTACAGTTCCTTTAGGCATCCCATATACGCCTAGACCCCATCCAAGTTTAACCCCTGAAAAAACTACAAAACCAAGCTCAAGGACTGTTCTTTGACTCCAGTGTGCAAAGTGTGGAAAAATGTGTGTTGTCTGGCTGTCTAGAGCTTATGGGGGACCCAAAACTCAGCAACTTCTAAGGGGATAGCGATGCACCTGCTTTACAGGACTTTATCACCATTAATGACAGATCTACTCACACTTATAGTAGTGGCACCTTGGCACAGCTTGGGGAAACTACAATGGGATCTCTACTGTATTCCCCTACAAGCTTTAACGTGAACCTGTCACAAAACTGGGCAACATAGACTGAGCAAATGATGTGCTCTGCAACTCAATAGGCCATAATTGATTTACGGAGCAATGGGACTCAATTACTGCCTATAGAGTTCCCTACAAAATGTATTCACCAGCAGGAAGAACCACAAAGAGTGCTGGGTCAGCACATATTTGACACACCCATAAGTGA